GAAACACGTTTCAAGCGCGTTCTCGCTTAACCCGCCAAGAATATACGCCAAGAAGAATCTAACTTCTATCATTTGCGCTAACTATATACGTTCATTTCCAGTTCAACCGAGGTTAAAGTCAGGTCCGGATGACCTGCCCACACCAGCCTACCACGATTCTTCCAGGCGAGACAGAAGTCGAAAATCGATATTTGCGGTATTTCCATCACGAGACGACATCAGGATTCCAGAGTGCATATGATTGGACCCTGTGGAATCGCCTTGTGCTTCAAGGCTGTCACCACGAACCTTTTATACGGTATGCTGTCGTTGCAATCGGTGCCCTCCATAAGTCTTTGCGGACATTGTCCTCTACTGGACGGGAACCACGCACGAAAGATAACGAGCCGATGGCGAAGCTGCATCGTGAATTCGCATACCTCACATATGGAAAAGCTTTGAAGAAGATGCAGCAGGCTATTGACACTGGTGTTGACCATGGGCCACGACATGCGCTCATCGCCTGCTTGCTCATCGTTTGCTTTGAAGGCCACATTGGGAATCGGTACAAAGCTTTAACTCATGCCAAATATGGGTTACAAATCCTGCAACAATGGACCAGTCACGGGAAACAAAAGATTTCCCAGCGAGGAAAACCAACCGTGGTGTCACCTAGCCCTATGGAGGTCGAAGACGAGATTGTGGAAGCGTTCAGAAATCTAGACATTCAGATTACGACAGTAAACGATGGCCGTGCGGTGGAAGAACATGAACAAGAAATGGAGCAGGATTCTTCCATCGTAAACTCGATGCCGGACTGCTTTGACAGCTTGGATAAAGCCAGAATCTATTGGAACATTATCATGCGTAGGAGCTGCCATTTCATGGCTACAACTTGGGGTCGAACACAGCCAGACTTGCTGACGCGAGAATTCGAAACCAAGATCCCTGGAACCGTGATAGTCACAGTGGGAGATAACATCTATACCACTTCTGCCAAAGTGGACGAGGGAGTCAAAATTGGGCAAAAGCGATCCCTTGTCGAAATATCGCGTTGGCTAGAGGCCTTCGAACCAGTATTTCTGCGGATGCAGGAAACCAGTAACACTACTTTAAGGGAACATGTTATCGCGATGATACTCCAGATTCAGGCTCTAGCTTTGAAGATAACGTTGGCAGGAGTCGTCTTCACGCAGGAGATACTCTATGATGAGTTCCTGCCTACATTCAGAGAGATCATTCGCCTCTCAGCAGACGTAGCTGCGGTCTGCCATTCAAAAGTAGACGCCGACTTCTGGACTGGCAGTTTCATCCTCGATCTCGGTCTTGTCGTGCCCCTCTTTATGCTACTCCTACGATGCAGGGACTCCGTTTTGCGTTGCCAAGCCATTAAAATTTTGAAGAATTGGCACATGGAATGTTGGTGGGACCCTTTGCTTATAATAGAAATAGGCCAGTTTATTATGGAAGTCGAAGAAGCGGGAATGGTAGATGGTTTTATTCCAGAGGAAGCGAGAGCCATCTTGACGGCCAAAAGCCATTGTCCACCCCAAAGGCGTCTTCTTGTACAATGCGTCCAGAGGACTGGGGGACCTGATGGAGGGCTGAAATGGACCGAAAAATTTATTAGGTGGTAGAATCATTGTGTCAGAACTGCAAGAAGTTGAAATATCTTTAGCAGAGTTGCATGAGATTCTTTCCGTTCATGTAGAATAGGAAAATTTGGTACGTAATAGCAATAATGAAAGTAAGCCTGGGTGCATGGAGCGATATCTCGATCTTTCTAGGTTGGGAAGTTTAGCCTTTGACATCCTAAGTACTTCACAACCCCCGTCGCTTCTGTGATAGTAGTTGTATTCTTCATTTCTTCACCCTTGTCAACGACTAGAAGATTCGCCAAAGGACGATAATTAACTGCAAAACCATATCAAAGATAGCGTATGCAAAGAGTTTATAACTAATTAGCGCTTAAGTTTGATTGACGGTTGACGTTTGCATCTGATTGTGCTTCATATACCTAGAGAGTGAGCAGGTTCTGTAACATTGGTCTCAGCTCGGCATTAGTTGTTAAGGAACAAGCACCAACATTTTAAACTAACAATTTAATCAACAAACTCTAACCAAGAAGACCTCTACGGCTTTCAGAATCCCGAACATTATATGAGATATATAAATCACTTGAAGTCAAACGTAAATTCCGGGATATACAACTTGGTCTTCAGCATTTGGATAACTTTACCATTCGACCGGGATCGAATCCTAGTGGAAGGGTTCACTGCCTGAAACAGGACAAGCATGTACCACATTGAATAGACAAGAATAATACCTGGCATCATATATTTGAAAGACATTGGCTGATGGCTGGTACTTGAAATGGCGCACATATTGACATATTCACTTCGATATGGCTTCAAAAAGAGCAGTCAAAGTTAGTAACCATAAGATTCAGTAGAAACCCGACAGCAGAATGCTGATTCACTGGCACGCGAGACAGTCGGGAGAACCCAGAGAAATACATCACTAGAAAATCCGTAGAAAAGCCCTAGAAGAACCGATTGGACTTTCGTGCCTTACGTAATCTTAGCATCAAGGCCAGGCCCAGCTGAGCGCTGATCTTATCCAAAAGCATCGCCATTTCGGCAGGACCAGGCCTACCCACACGCAAAAGACTATTACAATGCTAACTCGATGGAACGATTGATGATTCGAGCCAATCTCTTGGGTACTCATCCGACTTGTACACTGGTATAAAATCACCGGGACATCGATCCGTGTCACGTGAGTTTTGTGACAGCACGCAGTTGCCCGAGACTTAAAGCCCCAGTCGCACACCCTCTACATCTTTTGGTGATCTTGTCTGTGTTCTTTGCTTCTGAATTCTCATGTGATATATCATCTCCCTTACATCGATCCCTCGTGCTTTTACCTCTATGGCAGTTTTAGACAAGGACTAGCGATTGTGGGCGTGTCGTAAAATCTCTGTATTTCTGTGCGGCGTCTTCTAGCCTTGAGGATTTACGCAAGCTGGATCGGTCACGACAGTTGTGGTGCGATGGTCATAATTCGATCGCGTCATGGGCGAGTCTCACCAAACCTGTTCACATTCCAATAGCTAAACAACAAGGGTACTCTTGCTCGTGGATTCCAATGTGTCATAGGTCGGCCAGCGACTAGACTTTGGAAATCACACATGACAATCGTACTCAAACACCCTACAACAATCGCCAAAGGCGCGTTTATTGCCACATTTATCCTCCGCACTGCATGAACAGGTAGCAAAACATCGTTTGGGTCTCCACTTCTTCGCCTTACTACTACATCCTCGCAATAGCTTTTGCGGTTCTATATTGTCACGCCGTTCAACATGACAAGCTCTTTATTCACATAGGTTCAACTGCACCCCTCGGGAGAAGACCTGAGCTTCAAATGGTAGAAGAGAAGTGCCAGACTCCTACGATATGTACCAACTACAAAATCTTTAATGCTTCGTGGTTTGCCGCAATTGGTCTTTCGTTAGCCCTATTCTGGTGGTTTTTGATCTGGAATTTGTAGATGCGGACGAGGGTGGAGGTTGGTATGAGAATTGATGTCTCGTTTGGCGTATTGTAAGTTGGTGCATGACTTGATTCTAATATCGGAATTCATAGGCCAAAAGGTGAAAAGATCAGGTATTTGTTCTATCTTCAAAAGGATTCATATTGTCTAACTCCGCTAACAAGACTTCTGCTACGTCACAGTATTCCAGGACCTCACACAATCTCGCGCCCACGTAGACAGTGGCATCGACGCCGCCATCTGAACCGTGGTTCAAACCGCCACAGCTATTACCGCCGCTTCGATTCCCGTGCTACGTGTCTTATCGATAAAATTATGTCGATCTGTGGATACAACCACGGCGACTTCGGGGAAGCGGATTTTGGCTATTCAGCGGAAGGAGCCAGCAATCGGGGCGCACGAACCAAGTTGATGCGGGGTCCTGAGATAAGGAAATCATTTAGACGAGTCTAGGCGTGATGGAAGACGCATCGAGTGATCGGAGTATCTTCCATGACACTTACGCTGTTGAGGGATATGCTTTGCCAGGGAAATCTGAGTTCTTGCCACTATCACGGCGACGACTATGACGGGTTCTTAGAGTTTGATAGTGCGAGAGAGCAGAACAAAGGGGTAGGGCCTGGGCTCTCTTTTTGAACGCTATGATCAGTGGAACTTGTTTAGAAATTCGGTTACATTAATTTTTTTGCTTGTAGGAGTGTATAGGTTGCAAATAGTGCAGTGTTTCACTCCTTCGGATTGAGCTCACTTCCAGATCGGACAGGTACTTTGAGTATCCTCCAGTATTGAAATGCAACAGATAATTGGGACCAAAGCCACGAGGTATGTGCCTTTCTATTTCTGGAGTGACACGAAATATTAAATTATGAGCTACGCTCAATGCGTTCGGGACGTTTACCCGGCGAACGCTATACATCCAATGATGACTTTCAAACCCACATATCTTGCCTTAGCCCTACTACATGCAATCTCTAGGTCATCCACGTATCGAGATTCAAGCAAAGGGAGTACTGCGAAGGACAAGTTGTTGCCAAGGATGAATCATGACGAGTTCACGCCACGCCACTATGCTCATCGATGTAGGCGAATTTGAATCTTCATTGCAGGCAGGAAACCTTCAGAAAACCAAAGTAATACCAAAAAGACCACCATAAACGAGATAAAACAGCTCTTCTAGCATATGATTCTTCGTACTTCTTACGAGCTTACTACCTGAGTTCAATGTCTCTGGGGAAATGAACGAGACAATGAACCTCAACGTCATATGAGCAAGGTGAAATCGAATCTAAACTAACTTGTTCGATTTACACGCGCAATCTCTAGTGAAAATGCCATGCACTCGTCATAGAATGTTCTAGTGGATTGGAAATTCCATGATTTTATCGGCGGGACAATTTCAATTTTGGGCTGCATTTGGACTGCTGGATGTTGAAATCGCTACATCCGGTACAATATTACCAGCCAATCAGACTCCCCAAGAAACTCACAGTATTTAAAACGGACATTCCAGGTATTTCCAGATGATATGTACTGACTTTGCTACCAATATTTACCAAAAATGCCCTCTTTACTGCCACGCATTCTAGCAAATCTTGCTGTTACATCCTCCCTGTTTGTGCCAGCTTTTGCGCAAGTCAACCTTGGAACAGCAGGAAATTTCGGAATTGTCGCAAGCACTTCGATCACGAACACTGGTAATACTGTTGTCAGTAGCCAGCTTGGTCTTTCTCCCAACACCGCCAGCTCTATAACTGGATTTCCACCAGGATTGTCAGGTACCGTTCACGCCGGCGACGCCGTCGCAAGCACAGCTCGTGATGACGCACGAACTGCGTACAACGCTGCCGCTGCTCTAGCGTCGAATTTCGCCATCACCGCGGATTTAGGTGGCCAGACACTTGTTGCCGGAACTTATACTGCTTCTTCATCTGCTGGCATTACCGGTCAGCTCACCCTGGACGCCAAGAACAATCCAAATGCTCTATTCGTATTTCAGATTGGCTCCACCCTTACTACAGCAACTGCATCGTCAATCGTGCTTCTCAACGGCGCACAGGCGTGTAATGTCTACTGGCAGGTTGGCTCTTCGGCAACGCTTGGCGCAACATCCGTCTTTGTTGGCTCTATCCTAGCTTCAACGTCAATTACGTTGGACAATGGAGTTACTGTTACCGGTGGTTTGTATGCACTGAACGGCGATGTGACGCTTATCAACGACAAGATCTCCGGCCCGACGACGTGTGTTGTGCAGAGCAGTAGTTCCGTTCCTACTACCTCATCTATCCTCACGCCATCGACCTCGTCAACAGGAGGTGTTACTACAACCTCATCAACGGGAGGTGTTACTACAACCTCGTCAACGGGAGGTGTTACTACAACCTCGTCAACGGGAGGTGTTACTACAACTTTGCCAACCACTGTGTCGTCAAGCACTCCCATTATTACTTCATCTACCCTTAGTCCACCAACCTCTTTATCGGGAAGTGTTACCACGCTTTCATCAAGCGGAGCTGGAAACGGCCCTGGAAATGGCCCTGGTAACGGACCAGTCAACGGGCCAATATCAACCACGCCTTCTTCGACACTTTCTTCCATGCAATCGAGCTCTGTAATGTCATCCAGCTTGTCAATACAATCTTTCACATCAAATTCGACAAGGATGTCTTACTCGTCGACATCGTCAAGGCCGACTTCCTCTTCAAAATCGTCTTACTCTTCGTCAATGTCAACACCAACTTACTCCTCAAAATTGACAATACCATCCTACCTTTCAACTTCATCCACGCTATCCTCCGAGTCATCTTCCATGAATTCCTCATTATTCGCGAGCACTTCGACGCTTAAGTCAACTGAGTCGTCTTCCAAGAGTTCCTACTCTATGGCCGGGACTGCCAGTAGTATTACGGCTTATGTATACTCGGCCACAACGACAGAAGCATCACTATCCACAACCTTCCCCGCCATCATCTACAGTTCGTCAGAACAATTTTTATCCAGCTCGAAATCTAGCCAGGTGACCTACGCGGCGTTGAATTCAATGACCATTGGCAACTTGAGCACAACAGCATACATTGCTCAGTCAATGACACCAGTAGCATCTACAACCCCCCAAGCTGAGTCAGGCGAAGGAGCGGTCAATCGAATAATAGTCGTCAACGGCGTGGATTGCACAACATCAAAGTACTACGACAGCGGCTGCGACTGCATCCAGACTTCGAATGTGCCAATCCAAGTTGCAACTGCTTCAGCCGATATAGTCACCGTCATCAACGGAGTGGACTGCACGACTTCGAAGTACTACGAGAGTGCCTGCGACTGTGTGCAGACGGCGACGGTTCCGGTTCGAATTGCTAGTGCCGGCGAGACTGTGCCTACCAGTGCCGGCCAGGTAGCGGCTCCCATTGCTGGCGCGACCGAATGTTCGGTAGCAACGGTGACGGCGCCGGCAGCGGATTGCTCGCAGACAGCCGAGCCCTTGTTTTCTTGCATGGCTCAGTGCATGAGTTCTTTGATGCCTGCTGCTACAGGATGCTCTGCTATTCCCAGATATCGTATGTAGGTCCTTCGTTCAGTCCTGATGTGATGGGGGGTGTATATAGCTAAAAGACTCGGGAAAACCGTTGTCACGTAGACGGGGTGTATATACAATTTAGTCGTCTCCAAATATATATAATTTTTTTTATGAATCCTTGCATATTGAAAAATGTGACGGTAAACATCCTCCGGTTGTTTGCTTTGTCCCCTCCGCGGGTATGTATAACGTAACCAGCGATCTTCTATATTGCCTCGAACGCTTGAAACCCTGCTCTCGCTTCCACTCCATAGAGCATTGCTCAGCACACCCTATATTAAGATACCCCACGAGTGGTTTGCTTCGTATATATATGCAGGGGCATGAAGCTTTTCACGATACCCCGCATCCCATATTTCGTACTTCAGGTCAAGATAGAATGTGGGCAAATATTTTCCCTCGTTAACCTTGTGGGATCTGTCATGAAGTAGTATCCCATTTCAGAAGAATGCCCTCAATTTACCTCGTCCTTTTCTCATTTCTCTTCATCATCCACCTATCTTTCGGCCATAGCGAATCCTCATCTGGTCTGGATGGGGTGGTGGCATTTTCAACAACCGATATGCAGACACGAATCAACATTTCAACTCGAAGACCATCTCCACACTATCGCCTTACTGCCAGCTCGAATATCCCAATGGCGTGAGTGCTACACCGGTTGTGGATGGTAATGGCACCGCATATTATCCAACTTGGAACGGCCTATTCGTCGCTATGAACTACACGACCTGCCAGGTGAAATGGACGAGCAACATCACTTCTTTCATCCTAGGTTATGCGGCTGTGACGCCTGAGGCTGCGCTGATGCTTCCAGTATCACGAACGAGCCCCCAGATTAACGACAAGAATGGCGTTGTACTTATCGGGACTCTGCGATTTGGACTAGTACTTGCGCTGGACATGCACTCCGGCAAGGTCCTTGGATCTATTCCCGTGAATGCGCACCCCGTGGCAGCAATCACCATGAGCCCGACGTTCTACAATGGCACGCTGTTCATCGGCGCATCAAGCAGTGAGGAGGTAGCAGCAGCCTCAATCGCAGGATACAAATGTTGCTCCTTCGTCAGAAACGTCGTCGCCTTGACTTTCAGCCACCGCGCGCGCGAGTTTCACACCAAATGGAACATCTCCATGATCCCAGCCTCCATGGCCGGAGTGGACAATTGGTCCGGCGCAGCGATCTGGGGTAGCCAACCCTCGATTGACTCATCGAAGGGCCAAGTCTTCATCGGTACGGGGAATACGTACGCCGTGCCTCTCGAATATCAGAATTGCCAGAACCAAACGAAGAACAATGCGACGGCGGATTCGTGTCTTCCTAGGGAAATCTGGCAGGACTCGTTACTCGCCATCGATATCGCGACGGGTAGTGTTAACTGGGTACGACAAGTCGAGCCGCTCGATGCGTGGACGATAGCATGTGGACTCCCCGGCGCGCCCCAAACCTCGCCGAATTGCCCGCAGATCCCCGGCACCGATGCAGACTTCGGGATTGCACCGACCTTTGTGCGCGGAGGGGGAAGGACGCCGACTCCCAATGGTGAGGATATCATCGTCGCGGGGCAGAAGAACGGAAATCTGTATGCC